ATTCAACAGGTAAACTAGTAGTGGCACATTCCATGTCAAAGAGAGTAAAATGCTGTTATGAGGAGAGGGAGATGTTTAAGTGGTTAGCAGCGGTGTTCAAGCCGATGGCCCCCTCCACGAGGCTACCACAGCTCAGCAGAACACCCATGAGACACTGGAAGTTTGACAGAAGCCCTTTGGGACTTTGTCAGCCAGTCGTGGTGGTTTGGGTTTCACTGAGACACCATCAGTCTGAACGGATGTTTATATTAATGACAAATAAAAATCTAACCTGGACCTGGGACTTTTCAGAGGTCCAAGAGGCAAACGGAGAGCCTTTATTTTATCAGAGCTGGTGGGATGTTTATCTTGTGTGACCCCTTTCTTACCACGTCTACCCTTTCAGAATAAAAACCCCCAAAAGCCTTTCAGCGAGTGCCCTCTTTTCCCACATTACTCCTGCAGTTTGTCGTCTGACACCCAGGCTTTAAGAGACCAGCAGCTTTTCATTCACTGGAGAAAACAATAAACCCGACGGCCACTCCGTCTCAAACAAATCCACAACCTTGACAAAAGACAACTGACAAAATCATAAGATGTGCCTTTTATTTTCATCTACTGCATTTCTAAGCAGCTAAACTGTGACAAAAAGTGGCGCATTTAAATGAACGCCCATGGGGCATTCAGCCCATATGGTGCACGGATATTTCAGCTGCCAAACTAGCCTTTAATGGCAGAGTAATTGCTTCCCACTGCTGTGAAAGGGAAAAATACCACTTTTGTTTACTCCTCTCATCAAAATGACCCATAAACACAAACATACCTGGTGAGTGAGGTTGGAGAGTGCCATCTGTGCGGGCGAGCGACAAATGAAAGCTTTAAAGTTCTCAGAATTGTAAATGGGAGACATTCGGGGGGTAAAAGGTCTTCCATAACGCCCTGCGAGGTTTTTAAACGGGAAAGAACTGGACTGAGGGGTAAAATTAGAAAACGTGTCTTCAAATAGAACTTCAGTGCTCCCATTTAAAGATACGTTACACTGCACTGCAGCAAAACAGCTCCTTCATGACTATGTGCCTTTGGGAACATGATAAAAAGAAAACAAAGCTGGATCTCCTCAGTGTGAGTAATGCAAAAATAACACACAGCACAAACAAACACAATGAAGGATAGACGTTTAAATCTAGAAGTGGAACTTTAGCCGCAGCCTGGAAAAAGTGGAACCTGCAGGTCTCCTGCAAATGTCCCTCAGAAGAACCACTTTAAAAACAAAGAATGAGTCTTAGAAAAGGCTCTAACGCACAGTTTTAAGATGCATCCGCCCTTACATTGTGCAGCTCTGGGGATTTTATCGCAGCTTCAGCATACCAATACTGTTCAAGGAGGAACTGAGGGCCAGCTCTGAGATCCAAGAAACACTTGTGCAGCTTCCTGTCTGGACCACCGATTCAAGAGCGCCAGTCATCACATCTAGGGAACATTTATCAGGGATGAAGCTGAGATGTTATTGTGAGAAAGGTCAGACGAGGTCAAAGAAGCACAAGATGGAACTTTTCAGCTGTAATTGATAGATTTTTCCCCATCCCATTCTCCTTCAGCTGCTGGTGAGGAGGGCTGCTGACCTATAAAGAAGCTGCATTTAAAACCTTACTGTGTCTCTTTGGGGAGCTCATTAGAACAATTAAAATAGCTTGGGCCAAAATCTGGGCGCCACAGGGGGGGGGAGGGAAACGATTCAGCTGTGTTAAGATGGTTTATTTAACTTTGGAATTGAAGTGGAAAATCTCACCCACTGGAGAAAAATAAGAGAGTACACCTGCAACATCTGGCCAAAGTTCACTCCAGTGAGAGTGTTTGGTTTGTCTGAAAAACAAACACAACTTATGTGACTGAAACTGCTGCCCAGTAAGGCGGTAAAAATTACATGAAGCAGAAAGGCTCCTAAAACCTGAGTTCGTGGGAAACGCAAGGAGAGAGTGTGTGATGGAAGAGTTTTATCCTCCCAAAGTCGAATTAATGGCAGAAGAATCAGGGGGATTTATTTTAATGGGATTATTGTAACCCTGACAGTTTAATTAGCAACTACATGTGACTTATATTCCTCGTTGATGTGTTTTATCTCAAACACACGAAAGAGAATTAAAGAAAATACAAGTGCGTTTTCATATAGTGCAAAAACAAACGGTGAATGCAAAAAAAAAAATACAACAAACTAAAATAGAAGGTAAGATTTGGTCAAGTTGGCAAATGTATACGTACCAAATTGGCCAATTTCTTCTTTCTCGGCACTGCAGCACCCCCTAGTCAGCCTTTTCTCTCCGGTTTCACGGTTAAATAACTCCGTTAACTCCTTCTTTTACATGTTTCAAGCCGCTCACACAGAAAAACGTGCACGGTGCGCGTTATCCGCTCTCACTGCGCCGAAAATCCAAACGGACTGTGGCGTCATCTTTTAGGAACAGCCACAAAAAGCTGTTGCCTTCACTTACCCTCGGAAATACTACGTCCTCTTCTTCACACAAGAGAAAACCAGCCGGAACGTCCTCAAATACCGACTCCAGGATGCAAAACTATAGAATTATATTATTTTATTTGACTTATTTGAATTTCACCTGAATATTTAAATATGGAAGGCCGTGAACCAGTAGTGTATTTTTAATTAATGTACTTTAGTTCACGAGCTAACTTGAACGCAACCATTACTAGATTAAAGTGAGCAAAATCCCCTTTATTTATTTTCATGATTAATTTTTATTCTTATTTAAAATAAACAAGTAACTTACATTTAAAAAATAATGAAAGAATAAATCATAAAGTCCTTTATTTTTTAACTTTGTCAGATTCACGAGAAGTAAGTGAACGCAACAACACAACGCGTGTTTTTGACAGACGCTTGGTATCAGAGAGGTGTGTTCTCTCATCACAACATCTGGGCTGCTTAATTTCTTCAAGACTGAAACAGTTTTAAACAAGCTGGATGTTGTGCAATCTTTCAGTCAAGGATCTCGCTCACGCAACGCGCATGAAAAACAAAGAGGGTCTTGTGTAAGATAATAAATTGCAACCAAGTCAATTGCTTTTATGAGGGCCGGGTCAGCAGAATGGGAGGCTCACAAAGAATGTCTGATGGCTTCATTGATGGTTGGTAATTTATGTGAGGCTATCTGCTTTGTGGGGCCACTTTGCTCTGAAAATGAAAAGTGACTTTTTGGTGAGACAATGTTCACGATGGGAGAGTCCTCCCTGGTTTGAGTTGCTGGAAGATCATTGTCGCCACCTGCTGGCAATATTTGTTATAAAAACAAGATGAAAGCAAGTCCAACTGATCAAACGTACATAAAATAAGTAACATAACAGATCCCCAAACCTAGCCACTGACTGTGGTTCCTTTGAAGCCAACTGCTGTCAAGTGTGTGATAACTTTAGTATCTCTGTGGAGGAAGTCTAGCCCACTCTTCTTAGTAGAACAGTCTGAATTTAATCACATTAGATGACTTTTTCTTGCACAAGTGGTGTTTTAGGTCAAAGGTCAGACGATTCCCTTTGGGATTTTCAGGTGGAGGGCAGAACTCATAGTTCCATCAATGAGATGTCCCAGATCAGAGGTAGCTCCAGACCATCATGATACCACCACCATGCCTGATTGTCGTTACAATGGTCTTTTGATGAGATGCAGTTTTACATCTGATGTAACAGGTCACGCACCAGAAAGATCAGATTCGGTCTCATCTGTCCACATGACTTTTTTAGTAAATGTGAGGAAACCTTTTATATTCTTTGTCGTAGGATTTTCTGGACAATGAATTCTCCCATGGAGGCTATTCTTGTCCTCCTGACTCTTTATTGTTGAATCATGACCTCTGACCTTAGCCATACACAAGTGAAGCATTCAGTACTTTAGATGTTGTCCTGGATAATTTTATTTAATCAGTAATTTTTTTTAAATCAGCCATGAAAAGCTGCTTTTTGAGATTTGCCCTATTTCATGCTGTCAGATGGGTTTTACGGAGTGATTTCACAAAACGAGCAATACGCAAGAATGAAATTCTGTTGTCAAATTTGGTTACTGCAGCCCCTTTTCAAAACATACTGGTGACTTTCTCACTCCTGTTTGGTGTGTTTCACGGCTGTTGCCAGCTACGGCTTAGTGCAAGAGGAGTCTAGAAGACAAGCAAAATGAGTCATGCAGATGAATACATTTACAGTAATATCAAATTGGTGGTAATTTAAAAAACAGCTTAAGATAGTTTTAGAGCAAACTATTTCTTTCCAGTTCACCATTAGCATTATTAAATCAACATTAGCCTCTAGCCTTCTTCGATCCATTTTAGAGTAAAACAAAAATAACCCCTTGCTTCATTAAGAGGTACAAGGAATAACTTGTTGGTTGTTCCCGTTACTGGCTTAGGATCTTTACATAATGCTGCTGCGTTTTGCCAGCCAAATTACAAATGCCTGCACTGTAGCTTTAGATTTCACAGACATGGCAACCCTGCAGGCTCGCTGTAAACAAAGATTACATCCCTCTTTAGCTTTTTGAAAGGAGGAAAAACTGACAAGCCCCAACCGACTGAGAAGGAAATCTGTTCGTGTATTTTTCCTTCTGAAATGATCAAGACATTAAGACTGTTTTGTGATATTTTACTGTAAAATTCTTACTTATTGTACCTTTAATTTTACAGGTCTGAGTGAGGCTAGAGAAACCAAACTCATCTTTCCAAATACTGTCATTGATCATTGTTTATTAATGGTTTAACTCAGTGGAGACATAGGGAAATTAGCTTTGAAAAATAGGATCAAGGTGGATTGGATAGCTTTTATCTCTTAATAAATCAAATCATTATTTGAAAACTGCATTTTGATTTTAATCAGGATTTATTTGTCAGGTCTTGATCAATGTTACCTGATCTCAAACCTTTAGGCATGACAAACCGACAAAATACGCATCATCCACTGAAAGACAAGGGAAATTAGTCACCAAACATAAGTGGCAGGTTTCTGCAAGAAAAGCTAAATCCACAAGAAGTTAAAAATTGTTTTTATTAAGCATGAACACAACACAGTCAAAGCTAATATATACAAAAGCTTTAGAAGTTTCAACAAAGAATACTTAATAAGGTTGGTGAATAATGCGTCATGCTTGTTCTAAAAATGGTAAAATAATAATTAAAGAATAAAAAAGCTAAAATTACCTACAGGAAAAGTATCTCGTACCTAAGTTCTAATGTTATGTACAATATTTTTCATGTTGGTGAAATTCAGTGGAATGTAACAACAGTTAAAATAAAAATGACGAAAAGTATTAGAACTTCAGTATGAGAAGAATCATCATAATGCTGCACATCCACAAAAAATCCAAACAAAAACCTAATTTAAACAACAAGTTTGACAAAAAAAAGTTAAAAAGCTGTTCGATGAGAACTGTTAAACAATAAAAGAATAAAACACAACAAATATCATCATATTGTGGCTTTTAGTGGGATGACTTTCTGAATGGAGATAATCTGTCCACTAACCTGAGCTTTTAATATAAGTTTTACAAAAAGTCGCTGCATTAAAAACAAGCCATCTCATCTAATCTGCTAATCCTTTCTACATGACCTTAAAACACATTAAAATACTTAAAAAATATAAAATTTCCCCTTCAGAACTCAAATGCAGACTTTTGTTGTTTGTTTGGCTCGATAATTTTTGCCTAAACAACAAAAAAAAAGGGACTAAAGAGTGACGGTGAACACTAGTGAGGTCGGGGTTCCTGGTGCTTCAGTAGACCATGTGCTGTTTGTTGTCATACGTGGGGAGGGTGTTGGTAACGGGCATGGGCTGATGGTGAGAAGACTTCCTGTTCTTCATGAAGCAGTAGCCCAGGAGGCCGAGGAGGATGAGGATAGCCACGCCCAGGACAATAGCTATCCAAAAGATGCCTGTCCAATAAAAAAGTCATCCTTAAGATTCAGTAAAAAAAAGGACTAAAACTAATTATAGACTAAGCTGTGTCCTTCAAAATAAAATAACAAACCAGAGGCAGAAAAAAATGCTACTATCTGTGGATTTATTTCTAATTTGTCATAATTTTTACATCTGCTTACATTTGTGTTAAAATCTTAAATGATCACTTGCTCATTTGTTTAATCTTTATTTAAAATGTGCTTAATGTGTTTAAAAAAACTTTAGCATGAAATATAAAATTGCCATGATCTAGGTGTTGCAGTTTATTTCTATAAAACGAACTTTTTAAGAAATGCATTTTGCAAAATCTAACTTAAACCTTCACATTTTACCATTTTTTATTTATGTTGCATGTAGGTTCAGTTTGAGACTGCAAAGATTTATCAAGTGGAAGAAAAGAATGGTTTTAATACCCGTTTGGCTCTCAGATTCCAGTCTTTCATTCTGCTCTTTCCTTTCAAAAACATCTTTTTCTGAAAAAGAAACAATGGAAAAACAAATAAGGACATTTGAATAATAAAGTGAAACATAACAAATAAATCACGTTTATATTATTATTGAAATGTTTTTAAAACATAATTATTGCCCATAATAAGTAACATATGCAAAAAAAAATTAATTGATTGAAATTAATTTAGTTTATTTCTCTTAAAGGATTTAATAGGATAAAAAAATTGGTGGAAAATATAAGATTTCTGATTTTTAAAGCTGTGGTTCGTAGCATTTTGAAATATGAACAGCTATAGGAGCCCTAAGACCCTTCTGGTCAGTTCATGGGTCCCCTGAACGAAAATAAAAAAATGAATGTAAGTGAATGGTAGCCGGGCAAGCCATCCATACATGTAAATTTACAGTCTCTATAGTTCATAGTTCAGTGGTGGTGCGGAAACTCTGGTTGTCTTTCAAATTGTCTCTGCATGCTACTGAACATTGAACTACTCACTGCTGTGGATGTCAGACAACGGGGCAGTCCGCCATGCACTATTAAAGATGCAAATACATACTTTTTCTAAATAAAGGAATTAAGTACCTCTATCTGCTCAAAAAAAGCCCATGTCTAAATACCGTAAATCCTCTAATACAGGTCTGGGCCTGTATTTGACTCAAGCTCATCAAGCTCCAGGCCTTTATTGGAAGGAGGACCAGAATTAGAGGCAGGCCTCTATTTCTATTTGAGCAAAATGAACTAATGGTTCGCTGGAGTTTTTGACAATTAAAATTGCGCCCACATTTTCAAAGTTAAACACATTTCTTTTAACAACGGTAGTTTCTGCTTCAGCCCTCCCCCCCTCCCCCTGCGCAGCAGCCGCAAACTCACTGATGCGCCTGCAGCCTCTCGGAGTTCCTGCTGCTCTAAACATTAAAATAATTATTTCATTTTCTCTTCCTCACTTCTGATTACCTTCAATGGTGTCTGTTTGTTGCAACCACCAGGTAAAAAAACTAACTTGTTTTTATTTGACTATTTTTCTGCCCTGCCTGTTTATTATCTTCCTGCATCTCCTCTCAATCCTAATGAAAAACTGCTACCTGGGTTTATATATATTCACCTTATGAGTTACCTTTGAACTGCAGTTCTAAAAGATCTACCGACCGCAAAAACAGTGGAGTGCTCGCTGGCCGCATCAGTGATCGGTGCGTCACCGGAGGACAAAACAGGTGATGCGCCCCGCTCCACAGCAGCGAAACGCATCAGGTGCAAATAAAAGACAGAAAACATAAAAGGAAATGAGCTGACATGAACGTGTTAAATTAGTTTTTGAGGTGGCGACACCTGATTTGATAATGTTACTGTGGCCGTGCTTGGGACGCAGATGTCTGGAGCGCGTCAACAATCAGAGCTTTGCATGCGCAAGCTGGTTAAGATTAGGATGGGGGTGAGGGAAAGGTTAAATTGCAAGAGGGAAAAGGTCACAATTTGGTTAAATGTCCGTTTTACGGCAGGCGTCAGTACCGACGCTCTGGTACAGCGCGTTCCCCCCCCCCCCCCCCCCCCCCCCCCCCCCGAGCGCAGGAGCTTGTCACCTGCTGACAGCAGGCTGCTGTCTTTTCCGAGGACTGCATCTTGCCGGTCATTATCACGTGACAGTGGCTAGTCGATGACAGGCATAAAAAGTCACTATAGTGAAGTCGACTAGTTCATACAACCCCTATTGCTCCCCAGAGTGTTCTGCAGCATAATCAGCACGTTCTCTTTGAACTTGATATCAAATTTTCGCCGCCTCTTCGTCTCCGCACCTGCCAAATCGCGGTCTGTCACTGGCAAATCAAAAGTGAGACGGATGACACAACCGCCCCCCCTGTGGTACTTGCTTGTTACCACATTCCACCCGGCCACAATAAAATACCGGCCATTATTCACCTCCGCCGACTCCGACACCGGCCAAAATGTGATACCCGGCCGTTAATTGAATACAGGCCAATATTAGAGGATTTACGGTAGTCCAAAGTTGATGTCAAAGCCATTTCAAACGAGCAGTCATAATCTTTGTTGTTTTGCTCGGTTGCAGTTACACTCCACCCAGTAAACTGATAGATTTCTCCGATTGGCCCACCAAACCAACAGAACGCTGTGATTGGCTGGCACAAGCCTGTTTGGGCCTTCAGATGTTCCAATGAAGCATGGCGAGACTGACATGCAGTGCAAAATCATTTCTGCCCACAAATAAAAAGTTCACTGCGTATCTTTGATTTCCACGAGACGTTCTTTGATCTGCTCTGTGTCAGCCACTAGATTATCTTCCAGACTTTTTCACAGAGGAATGGTGGTGCTGTTAAAAATTTGGACGTCTCTGTTAACCTCTGTGGGTCTGCAGCAGAGCCCTCAACTTCAGGGTTCATTTCAAGATCCTGGTTCTGGTCTATAGGGCCTTACATGGACAAGCACCATCTTACATTGGTGATCTTCTTAGTCCCTACACCCCCAGCAGGTCCCTGAGGTCCAGTGATCAAAGCCTACTGGTTGTGCAGCACCAGGCTAAAGACCAAAGGTGACAGATCATTTGCTGCTGTGGCCCCCAGACTCTGGAACTCTCTCCCCCTGAGCCTGAGATCAGTGGACTCAGTGGTCTCCTTCAAAAAGCAGCTGAAGACTCACTTGTTCAAGCTGGCTTTTGGATGACCTTCTTCACCCCTCTCTCTTTATTCTGCTCTCCCCACCTATTCCACCTTCCTCAGGATCCACTGATTTCCCTCTTTCCTATTCACTCTCTCTCTTTCTTAACATTTTTTCTTTTAAATCGCAATTGCTTATTCTTGCTCATTTAAAATATATTTTTAAACATTTTTGAAATGCTTTTTAAAATTTTTACAATTTTTATATTTTTTGTTTTTGTGAAGCGCCTCGTGATTTTTATCTTGAGAGGCGCTATATAAATGATATTTTCTTCTTCTTCTTCTTCTTCCCTAGCATCAATGCATAATGTTGTTGCATGTTTCAGTATTCATGAAGAGAAAGAAGTAAAAATTAGGCTTTAAATAATAATAATGTAGCTCAAGGCTGAATGCTACGCTAATCCCTTAGCTCCAATACACAAGAAAAATCTCTTTTCTTTCCCCTCCCTCCTCTTCTACAGATAGCTTGAATTTTACAGACTGCAATGCAGGTCAAGTTAGCATTCAAGCTAGGTTGGTGTGGTAAACGACAGAGGTGCATCCACATCACTTCGTATAGGGAGCCTGAGTCACTTCCGCACCACGGGTCCCGGAAGAACGAAAAAATGAACGCAAGTCAACGGGGCTAAAAATGCTATTTTCTGATTCCGCTTGTTTTGTGCCATGGATTTCACTTATGATGTCCGTGAATTTTAAAGACGCATTTTGATACCAAGAACGCGCTTATTTTCGAACGGGAGTGAACGATATTTTAGGTTTCGTGTGAAAATACGTCCAAGACTACAAATGCGTTTCATGAAAGTGACGTCATCGAACCAGACACGGAGAAAACTGAGGGAAGATGGCTGTAAGTTCAGCAAACTTCCCACAGGAGGAACGAACCACCATAAATCTGGTCATCTGGTAAGTAGCAGCTACTTTGGAGAGAGGAGATTATATGTGGTGACGTCACATATGCAACGTGCCGATTTATAGTTGTAGTCATGCTAATTATGAACTTTTACATGCTGATAAATCTCAAAGTACGTGACTGGCGTGGTTGAAACACCAATCACTACTTTTCATTTAAATTCCTGTACAACATATGTGCGATCCAGGGCGTAAGGCAAAGCGGATTAGAAAATAGCTCTTTTAGCCACGTTGACTTGCATTTATTTTTTCGTTCTTTTGAGGACCCATGATGCGGACGTGACTTAGGCTCCCTGTAGCGCACGCTGGGGATTAGGTTGCATTCTCATTGACAGCTCCCCCTAGTGGGTATGCTACTCTACTGGTTAACGCTTTTGGATTGCATATACTGGATTTGCTGTAAAGACTCGGGAAAGGACTTGAAGGAAATATAAAAGATTACCTACTTTATTTCATAGAACAAGGTCAAATAGTTAAATTTATGAAATTTTAAGTTACTTTAGAATTTTTAAACTACACACCCCAGCTTTAATATCTGTAGGACATATGTGTGTAGATGTATTTAAATATAATTCTAAACAAAGGTCAAACTCACCTGTTACCCCACTGCAAACTTTTTGACAGCTCTCCTGATTGTCGAATTTGTTTTCGTTCCCTCCACAGCCACCGTAGTTGAACCGGTGACATTCCCTACTGACAGGGTCGTAGTACCATTTTGTCTGACTGTCCCGGCAGGCTCCTGTGTTGGGATTCTCCGTACAGTGCACTGTGACCAGTAATGAATACAAACTATTAACGTTTGATGATTTGAAGCAGGCAGAAATAATCTGTGTTCTTGAAACTAAATAGGAACGTGAGGGAATCAACAACTGGAAACAAGTTTAAAATCACCTTTACGTTCATCCACTGGAACCTCCATCAGCTTACGAAACTTATTTTCCACTGACAAATGCAACATAATTCACATTTACATGAAATTGACAAGCATTTTGTTAATAAAAACGCAAATATCCAATCAGTCAAAATTAAAATGAGGCCTAGTTTGCATAGTCTGTGCTTACAGAACTCGCACTTGCTCTCGTCTGACCCGTCACTGCATTGCGGAGTATGGTCGCACTCCAGTCCTGGAGCCAAACAGCAACCATTATCGCAGGCGAACTCGAAGGTGCTGCAAGGGGCGCCACATTTCTCTTCTGAAGAACACAGAGATCATAATCAGTTAGGGAGATCTTATAATTGAACATTGATGCAATCTTTTACAAACTCAAATCAATGGGGTTGTCTTAATCTTCTGCCTCACACCGATAAACATACAGAGAACCACCACTGAAATCTGCAACTACTTGCAGAAATTAAAGCCAACTTTTTCTTTTACTTTTAAAGATTATAAAAACATCTTTCTTTGCAATTTCTTATGTTTGTTGTACTTAAAAAATAGACATGCAAACACCAGTATAATAAAGTTAAAGCTAACATAAACCGGTATGATTTAGTAGGAACATTTGTTTTGCTTTCTCACTAAAACAAGTTTACCTGAAAACACCCACCAACCACCATAAGATCCCAAACATCTCAAATGAGTTTTAAAAGTTACCTGAATGTTTAAACAAGCATTTATTTTTGCCAACAAAACTAAATTAGGATTGAGGCAAAAATAATAATAATAATAATAATAATAATAATAATAAAATAAAAAGATGCATGTATTGTGGTGTAAAAATCATAGAAGATGGTGTTACCAGTTGACTGAATTTACTCACCCTGAGAAACATGCAGTATTCTTCCAGAATGACTACCTGTTTATGAAATAAAAGCAATAAAAATATCATTTAAAAAAATTCAACTTTTCAATGAACATATTTACAAAATAAGGATATACTTAAACGCTAAGGCGGCATCTTTTCAAGTTTTCGTTGAATAAAAGAGGCAATGGATGTCGTTTACAATATTTGTGACAAGCTAAATTTGCAATGGATCAAAAGTAAAAGGAATCTAAATCTACATGAAGCAGCTTTAAATGCAACATTAAATGCACGATGGGAAACTGTTTTATATAACTATTACTCCTATAATTTAATTGTGATTTATACTTTTCATTCAAATATTATGAGATAGATATGAGACTTATAAAATCTGTCTGTGGAAGCTGTGTGCTTTTATTTTGATTTTCATCAGTGTCTTGCAATCAGTGTGTGATAATAAGTGTGGGTGCCTATGAGGGAAACATAAAAACTACAGAACATGAGCACAGCGGACAAATACCTGCGCCAGAGCAAGCTTTAGAGCACTCATCTTCACTAAGGTAGTTGTTGAGATTCTCCTTGCAGCCACCAAAGTTGAAACTTTCGCACTTCCCCGAAGCAGCGTTGTAATGCCAGCGAGGGAAAGAACCACGACATGGTCCAACTTTCTTCGGAGCCATACAGTGGTCTGGTGAGAGAGGAACGTTAAAGATAAAACCTTCATGTTTCTCTTTATGGTGTGCAGCTACAGTAAAAAAATATTGTGGGTAAATTTGACAAAAATGCAGTTTAGTAAAGAAAATACTAAAATGCATCTGATTATGTCTTGCTTTGAAGTTTGAACAAACTTCCTTTTTTACGACTGTCGTGTGAGCAGGCACTTGTGAAACTGCACAGAACAGAGAAATTTAACCACTAAATTTTAAAAAAATGACACGCTTGGTCAAAACCAACAATATTAGAGAAGTAGGCCACCTCGCTGTGGTTGATGATTGACCCTTTTCTGCAAGAGCTCATTTATAGAGGTAGGTTTTTTTAAACCACTTTTCAGAACAGTGCTTTAGCAACAACTTGTTAAGAGGAAGTCTGGGTTCTTGAACTTACGTCATTCACCAGTGACTTGACCAAACTTTGACCCAACATGAAATTTTAATTATAAAACACTTTAAAAAGAACCATGTGTGCTTTGTAGAATGTATAAATGTTTAAAACAAGAGACAAAAAAAGGGCTACATCAATAAAAAACATACACAGTTGGTTATAAGAGCAGGAGTACAAGAATCTGTCAAAATCTGAAGTGGTGTAAAAAAAACCAAATAAACATGTTTTTTTAAATTATATTTAAATAAAAATATTTAATCACTTCAACAAGACTATTGAGTTTAAAATTAGGATCAAGTTTTTACACCTAAATTTGAGATGATGGATTTTTCATTAGCAATCAATACAGGGTCTGTTGCTGTAGCTATAGTATAACATGACAAGTTCATAATGTCAATAAGGCAATCCATCAATGAGAGGGTGGATAGAACACCCATCAATGTACTTTGAGTAATAAAACTATACAAATGAAGTAGAATGTTGTGTTTTAAGAATATGTCAATAAAAGGAAATAGATACAGGAAAAGAGAAGTCTAAGTACAGAGCCTTGTGGGACACCCTAGGGGTAATCAGCATGCAAGGAAACAAAATCATTGAAGGTGACACAAAAACTTCTACTTGAATGATATGATTTGGAACCAATGGAGAGCTGACCCCCACTCACCACTTCACCAGTATTAAAGGTAGCTACAATCAGTGGCGCAAAAAGTGGGTATGCAGTGTATGCGACGTATAGGGGCGCCGCGCTGGAGGGGGCGCCTAAGCAATGATGGGGGGAAAAGGGCATTTTTGTGTTTCTTAGCTATTTGTGCATGTGTAAATTAAATAATTATTAATACCAAGTGATCAATTTTTAAATATTATTTCTAATGATCAAGTGCATTTTCAAGAGTAGTAATTTATAGCTGTTAAATAATGCTTGAGACCAGTGATGACAGATAGGAATAAATATACTAGAATGGCCATTAAAAACCTGGAATTCTAGTATGATTAGAATTTTACTGACCATCTTTTTGTCCTTTAAGAAAAATAAGTGCAGGCAGACAAGGCAAGTCAGTGACTACAGAGGATAATGTGGAGCTGAGAGGTCAACATGATGAAGAAGAGGGACAGAAACAGAGAGATCCACATGATGAAGGAGAGAGAGAACAGAGAGGTCTACACAAAGAGGAGGGAGAAGAACAGAGAGATTCACATGAGGAAGAAGGCGGACAGAAAGAGAGAAGTCCGAATAATGAAGAAGAGGGAGAACAGAGCAACACATTCTCACACCCAAGGCGTCAAAATATGACGCGTGTGATCAAGCCTCAATATATGACGATTCGGGACGCCCCAGCACGTCAGGAGACGACGATCAGGGACAAACTGCTGACGCAGCGTCCCAGAGCATCAGTATCCGACGATGGAGCTGAGACGGACATTAGAACTACTTAACCTTCCCCTCACCCCAATCCTAACCTTAAGGTCACAGTTTATGGACCTTAAGGTTAGGATTGGGGTGAGGGGAAGGTTAAATAGTCGAATAATGTCCGTGTGACCGCACGCGTCAAACAGTGGCGCCAGCGGAGCCACGTGTCTCAGCTGGGGCGTCCCGAATCGTCATATATTGAGGCTTGGTCACGCGCGTCATATTTTGACGCCTTGAGCGTGAGAATGTGTTCAACAGAGAGGTCAACATGATAAAGAGGAAGAGGAACAGAGAAGTGCAGAGGAGAGGGCTGGTGAAAGACCTTATGGGCAGTGGGATGATGTCATGTGTGTGTGTGTTGGGGGGGCTCAATTATGTGGTCGCATACCCCTCATAAAGTAGGCAGCTGCGCCCACGTATATAATTGTAGGAGAAGTACTGAGTCACCGAGGATGAATGCTAAGAGTGTCATTAAAACTCTCAGCAGAGCTGACTCAGTGCTGTTGGCGAGCTTCAATCTGAGATTGAAACACTTCCCTAACTTAATGTTTACCTAGCAAGAAACTGGATTGGGAATAACTATGTCGCCTTGTAACTCATTCAAGAAAGATAGCCTAGATATTAGCCTAAAGTTGGGTTGTCTGAAGGCGTACGTGTTTTGGCACGTCTCCAGAAGTTAGACAACAGATATTTATAGAGTATCGAACGGAGCATGGTGGTTTCATACATGACAGCCAAAAACATATTTGTAATTAAATAAAAACCCCTTTTCAGTCATTTTGGCCTTTGACATAAGTCTTGTTTTGCATTAGTCATCCTGAAACCAGATAGACTGGTTTTGTGGAGTTGGGGGAGGAGAGACGGTATCACAGAAGCAGTAAAACCACAAAGACTTCTACTTCCTTCTGTTTTCTCCACAGATATCCGAGTAGAAACAACGTGGGTCCTTCACGCGTATTCCAAACTAACAATATTAACAATCACTGATCCATGCCAAAGCCTGAGCCTGTTCCTTTTTTCACCCACATTCCTGTGTAAAATACAAGTTTATCTAAACAGTTATCTCCGTTTCCTTGTGTGTCACAGGCTAAGCATGTCCCGACTGGTTTGATTACCATTTAACACGAAGTTTTTCCATCTTCATTCAAAAAAACACAAGAAAAAATGACTAAATCCAGCTACTGGGACATTTAATACTTCATCTACATGCAAATGCTAATTTTCCAAAAACTGGTACCTCCAAAAAAAGGAAAATTTTAAGAATTTGAGCAATAAGCCTCTAGGAAATTACTCCACAATACCCTCAGGAATTTCCATCTGGAGTGTCAACACAAAACACAAAGTCAAAAGATAAATCAGCCAAGTGTAATGAATGGGGGGAAATACATCTTACTTCTAAATATGCCCCCTGGGGTTAACTCACTTAACGGTGTTGCATCTTGAGAAACTCTGGGATGTAATTTACACCACCTGACTGACTAGAAGCATCAGAGGAAGACACTCACGCTCAGACAGCTCTGGAGTGAGGACCAGGACTGTGATCGTGGTGACATCTGACTGACCGCTGGCGTCCGTCACGGTCAGCTGGAACTTGTACTTCCCAGACGTCAGATTGGAAACCCTAATCTCATCTTTAAAGTTGCTTTTCTAGAAGCAGAAACAGAGGAAAGAACACGAGTGACACAAGAGAATGAAGGTCGAATATTAAAACATGGACTCAGACAGAATCTGGTCCATTTTTGGAGTCAGTTTCTTCACCTCAATGACAGCTGAAGGATATTCTGTGATCATTAACCAGTTATAGGACACGATTTCTTTATCATCTTTGCTCCTGAAGCCGTTCAGTGTCACGATCTCCTTCGGCTGAACCACCAGATCCGGGCCTGCATCGGCCACCGGTGGACTGTCGGGCGAATCTGTTGGGACGCAAGATGATGCATTTTAAAATGAATAATAAACACACATTAGATTCTAAAGAGGAAACAGAAACCATTGCTGCCATCAGCAACTTTGCTCCATGACTTGTGTAGACATGCTAAACTGGTTTCTGTTCTCATATCCTCATGTTGGTTTTAAAAGTGTACATATATGTGCACACACACACACACGCACACACACACACACACACACATTTACCTATAATAATGGGTTGAGGAGTGATCACATTATAGCAAGATCTAAACTACATATTGAAATATGTGTTAAAGAATTTGAGACGTTCTCATTTTAATATTCCTAAAAACATAAATAAGAACCTTGAGTCTTACTTTTGGAGGAGGACTCCTGCGTGAAGTAGGTGTCATAAACTGTATTCAGGACGTAACTGCTGTATCCCAGCGTTTTCACAAAGCGACACACGTAGTTCTTCTTCACCACGCAGTTGAACAGAAAGCAGGATTTGATCTGGCCCTCCTGGTCTCCTTTCTCCATGAAGGCGACGTTGCACATCGGGTCTTTGCAGCAAGACGTCACGCAGTCCCGGTAGCGCTCCAGTTTCGGCACAGAAAGGATCACGGCTCCGTCTTTCACGGACTCTTCCAAATCCAAAATAAAGTCGTCCTTACCTTTTTTAAATTTGTCTAAACATTGCTCAAGATCCTGGCCGGTGCTGGACTCCACAAGGACCACCAGGAGCAGGAGCGCAGGTGGACTCCTAATAAATAAATTCATAATAATAGTCCAGTGAAGGCCTCCACTCTCACGCAATTAAATGTGGATCTAAAACCCCAGCTTCCTCCCTCTGTCGCCCAGCTCTGAGCAAAGCTTGGAGAATCTGAAGAATCACTTCCTGATCATCAGGTAGACCCAACAGCGTTTCCGCAGAAGTGCGACAAAACTGGAATTGACAGCTTTGAAACTACGATCGCGTCCAAAGCAACCTAAGAGGTCGACGACATTTCACGTTTCTCAGGTGAGTCACCTGAGAAATGCAGGAAGTGAAATTCTACTCCGGATGTCACTCCCTGCTTGGCCGTTGAGCCTCAGCAGCTCCTAACAAAACACTCTGGTGAATGAACAATGTGAGTGTTTTCTCATATTCACGGTGGAGTTTTTATAGTTTTAAAAATCAACACCAACAATTAAGAATTTGTGTTCAACACTACTAAAATAAAAATAGGTGAAAAATAACCACAAGTAAAATTCTAATAAATTACATAATAAAGTAGGGATGTTAGAAATATGGGAATATATCGCAAAATATTTTCTTGCGATATTATATCGATATTCAAATCCGTGGATCGAATTTTTGAAAGAATTTACAAACATTTGCGTATTTTCTTTTCTTTTGGTGAAGTTCAAACGCCAACCGCTAGCTGACAGCAGTGTAATGGGTTTTGTTTCCACCACTGAAATGTAAATCCCTCTAATATGGTTCAGATACCTCATGTTAAACAGTTTTCCTACAATAATTAAAAGAAAAATCACTAATATTGTCTAATTAAATGTATCACAATATATTGTGATTTATCGTATCGTCTCTCCGTATCGTGATACGTATCGCCATAATTTCATACATATCCCTTCAATGAAGATACAAAATGGGAGACATATAGCCCATGTGTATAATACCCAGAAGATGCAAAAACTGCCTTTTTGTAAATTCCTGGTTTGTAAACAAAGCACAATGAGATAATTGATCGCTTACATAAAAAGTACAAAAGGATAAGATAAATATTACAATTTGACAATCAAAGGCCATGGTTGATTTAATAACTGGTGACTGTGATTTCAATAAAAATAATAAATTAATCATTGAGTCAATCAATCAAATTTGACCTAAAGCACTTTTATTTTTCAGATCAGCACTGGTGCTTTACATACTAACACCCAATGTAAAACAAAAACAAACTTTCAAAGTCAGTCATGCACTAACAATGCTCACACTTTGATTATCACACTCGAAGCACACTCACACAGAGCGTACATTGCCCTACCCACAGAGACCAGGGAGATCCCCATGGCAACAAAGAATAAATAAAAATAAGATAAAAGTCTACGTAAAATAGTTCAATTGCATGCTTGAGTAAAATATAGGACTAAAATATGAACAAAGACAGTAAACAGTAACACTGATTGGAAATAAAATGGTGGGATTTTGTTTGAATTATTTTTACCATCAGAATAAAAAGTTTACTGAATAAAATTAATTCATTTGTATTTTCTAATTCTAATAAAGACAGAAAGAGCTTGTTACTTCTAAGTAAATAGTGAGAGTACTTATTAAAAAATGAATTCAGCTTATCTAATTGTCCTTTATTATGAGTATTGTTGGTTAAAGGGGACATAATATCCAAAACTCACCCCCTTGTGTGCTTCTGTGCAGGTCTGTTCCACCTCTTTTAACACATCAACGTGAAAAACCTTTTCCATTCGTCTTCTGTAAGTGTTTGGTTTAACCCTCTGGAGGCAGGCGTTGCAGATTTGCAACGTTAAAACCTACCTACCTGGTCACTCCACATACGTATTTCATGAGCATTTTTTAACTCAGAAGTATTCTGAAGGACTTAGTTGTTCGTCCTTCTATCAAAACTTATTTTGAGCCTGAGAGGGTTAACGATTATGAGCCTAAAACAAGCAGTTTAAAACAATCCATGTTTGTGACATCACCAATGGGGAAGTTAGCATAAGACCACCTGTCACTTCACAGAGCTGCTGCTGGAGGAACAGTGGCTCTACTCCAAGCCCCTCCCAGATATCAGAGCTTCTCAGCTTATAGCAGCCAATCAGGGAATGGGTGAGCGTAGCTAACTCATCCTATTTTCTGAAAGTGACAGAGCCTTGAAATGACTCATTCTGGAGGGTACTGAAACTATCAAGAATAGAAGTGCTGAAATCACTTTATGTGAGAGGGATTATGTGCAAAAAACTTCATAAACCTGTTTTTTATCGACCAAATAACTATTTTAACTCAAGATAATAAAGCCGTATCATGTCCCCTTTAATATTTTTACCTGTTTTTCAGGTTTAGTCCACACGGTGGCAGTGCAGTCCCATTAACAGCTGGAAAAGTTACTGGAATTTAGCAGTGTGTTAATCTGTGAAGCATGAGTTTACCTTCTTCTCTCTCAAGTGATAAAACTGAATAATTTAATTTTGATGTACAGACACCACTCCCTAACTTGTCTTTATCACTGTAGTGACATAAAGTTTGCTCACTGAGTGCCTCACCATCTACCACTCTGAGCTGAGTCATGTAGCCACAAGAGAAACTTGCAACATCTGCGTGAATAAAAAGTGGCCTCTGAAGTTACATCACATGATACAGATTTAGATTATTTCAATCACACTGAGTTAATATCACATGAAACCTTAACTTCCTGGTAAATGTTGTAAAATAACAGAGAATACACACATTCTTACTCCACAAGAGGATCATTTATTACTTTTGTTTTAGTTCATCTCAGCTTGTGATGAGGAACTCTGTCAGGCCGGAGGAGAGAAGACCCAAACTCTTTTGGTCCACTCCCTTATTTTAGCCAGCCTGATGATGCAGAACCAAGCAGAACAGGGATGGGATGAGTGAATTTGCTTGCTTGGAAAGGTGAGCAGCTAGAAGCGCTTAATAATTCAGTGTTAGTAACAGACGGTGTATCGGTGGATGAACATGGGCGGCTATGACTGATGGATAGTCCCTGCCAAAACATAAACAAAAAAATGGCCCCCATTATTCATATTGTAATAGGATCCGTGGAAACTCTGGAGTCTGTTGACTCGCTTGTCTCACCTGCAATAATCTGATATCAACAACTGGGAGTTTTTTGACCCGTCCGCCGTTGGTGTTTGACTCCAGAAACATTGATGATTTCAGGAATTGTTTTTGACGTTTGGCTGCTCTCGTTATCCATTATGTAAGCGTGTGTAACTGATGATGCTAATGTAACTTAAGGTTTATTAAACACACACCTGATGAAGAAGTCAAATAGGGGACAGAGAGGCTACACACCAGAGGAACCCTGGCTCACCTGTCAGGTGGAGGACCCAGGTAAGTGTTTCTAATCACACGTGCCCTTGGGATCTTGAAACATTTAGACTTCGAGGGCAATAAATGCTTCGGATCGTTTTACGAGGGAAGAAGGAAACACGGAGCGCCGTGCGTGATAACTATAGCCGATCAGCAATGTTCTGTGAGGCAAGAACAAAGGTGGAAATTGAATTTTTAAAATACATTTTTGTCATCCCAGATATATTTTAGGCCTGAGTGAATAACTCCAAGATAACCTTTCACCCTCTCTTCTGTTTTTATTGCTGTAATTGACCTATGCTCTTCCACTCGTCGGAAGACGGAGGAAAAGAACAAAACGCAATTACACACCCTATGAAATGCCTGCACGCACGCACGCACGCACGCACGCACACACACACACACACACACACACACACACACACACACACACACACACACTCTGAGCCATATCTCATTGCCATCCTCCTGATAGTGCACTGCCTGTGGGTGTTGCAAGAGGAGGAGGGAATGAGAGCAAGACAGTGAGCTTTACAGAGAGGGAGTGAGAGGGAGGACGAGGACAGGCAGGGAACCAGAACCGGCATTAAAGAGACAGAGAGCTCCAAAAACTCAAGAAGATAACAGGAGATAAGCGTGGGAGCCTCAGCCTCCTCCGAAAAGCAGGAGCAGGGTTATAAACAGACAGAGGAGGGGAGTTTGTCTGCAGTGCTACGACCTGTGGATCTGCCTATCTGTGTGTGTGTGTGTGTGGTACAGATCAGTGTGCTTCCACAGTTCTCCTGAGGCCGTGGCAGCCATGGCGTCAGAGCCTAGCACCCAGTCCAGGGTGATGTTCCAGGCAGCGGACAAAGCAGAGGAGCCGCCACACCGCAAGCTGGGAAAGCTGACCGTGAAATACAACCGCAAGGACCTGCAGAGGAGGCTGGACATCGAGGAATGGATCGACGGGCAGCTGCATCTGCTGTTCGACTGTGAGGTGAGACAGGGCTGACACACACACACAGTGCCTGAGTAGGAGGTGAGTGAGGGGAAAGGGAGTGTAAGGGAGGACCGGAACTGCTCATGGCATGGGTGTCTGTGTTGGGTTATCCATGATGTATGTGAGATTAGAGGAGGAAGTGGGAGGCGGTTTCTGGTACCCTCATGTGTCATCAGGCCGACTGCAGCATGTCTTTTAACACGGTGAGAAAGACTACTTTGCTGATTGATTGAGGCCATTAATGCACATTTATGAGGATGTTGCAATCTCAATAAAACACCTATTAAAGGTATAGTTCAAAACATGTCCTAAATTAAAGATTATATTGAAAGTAACTTATCTTTAAACTCATTAATCATCATTAATTCCAATTAATTCACAGGATTATCAATGTCAACTTTAACTTTAAGGAAATTCATCTCATTTGAGGGTTTTCGTGCAAATTATCAAATTAAAAGTCAGATTATTTTAAATGTTACTCATGTGTGCGCTGGGGATAAAAAAAAGACGCACCAACAAAACACACTTCATAACTCAAATCCTGTGTTGCGGGATGCAATCCAATCATGTCAGAGGCTCCATATTGACTCACTTGGCATTTGCTGAGGGGAAACCATGGCAACAGATGTCTCATGGTCCACATGAGGTGGTTTGGCATCCTGGAACAAGGGAGTCCTGAGCATCCCGATGATGATGGCAGTCAGATTACAAGATTCCCCCCCCCCCCCCCCCCCCCCCCCCCCCCCCCCCCCCCCCCCAAGTTTCAACCTGGAAAAGGAAAACAAAGTGTTTATTTTCATTCTGCGGGCGGGTTCTTGGCTTTAGATGACTTGCAGAAATCTCCCTGCCTGGCTTGCCCTTACACTGCAAAAGGAGCTCTTTGCATATGGCAAATATGAACGCTAAAGAGTGGGAAAATTCAGCTAGAATACGTCATATTTACGTCAGTCATTTCAGCAAGAGAAGCTCAACATGACTAATAACGTTATATTTCTGTTCTTGCATCACTTGTTCAGCTTGTCTTGCAAGAGTGAAAATATACTTGCATGAAAATTAGCTGCTTATCTGTTTGCATGAACCTCTTGTGTGGAACTGGTTGTGGCGTGTTCACGTGCACGGGGCGGTGTGATGAATTTTGCATGGGGCTCAGGGGAAGGTTACTCTGTTGGTTTTCAAAGTCTTCTGCATGGAAGCATTTACCATCGGCCCTCTGTGTCGCGGCCTGAATTATTTAGCTGCATCTCTAATTCATACAAGTACACCCCGAGTCTAGAGCGGACCCTTGCACATTTCACACCTTTTACAAAACGGTGAAATACACAAAAGTGTGAGGAAGAGTTTGTGCTTAATAAAGGAAATTAAAGACCCCATCTGAGCCTGTGTGCTTTAAAGTATCCTGAGTTATCCACCTTTTCATTTTAATTCAAATATGCAGGCGGTGGATAATAACAGCTCATCAAAAATACATTTTTATTCTATAAATTACCTCAAAGCATATTTTAATTTTAGATTTTGAGCTCTGCGTTTGAACCATTCGTCTCTCAGGGTGATGAATGGATATTTTGATAAGCCGACGGCTCGTCCTGCTGACAGGAAAAGGGAAGGGTCTGATAAGTTAAACGCACCAAAATCTTTTCACAACAGACATTTCCCCGGGAATCGGTTTCCTTTACAGAAGCACAAGATGAGTGGAGACTCGGCGTTTCATAATAATGTTTTCATTTTTAACTTTCTCTGTTTAATTGTTTTACTTAAAAGGCTGCAGGAAGTTTCAAACACTTAATTTCACATTTTTCTGGTGAATTTAAGCTTTTTGGGGGATTAAAGTCAAACTTTTACAAAATTAAGAATCATTAACCTCGATTTATCATTCTGAGATTCTTTGGACTCAATAAAGATAAGAAAAAATGAATTGTTGTTTCACAGCAACTGCAGTTTCAGCTTATTTAAACCAGTAGTAGATGCTATTAGTAAATGATGCCTTTAGGCTTCATGACTGAATCTTAATTAATTAATTAGACCACATCAGTATTTCTGTCTGCAACTGCAATCCAACAAAACCCACTTTAACAGTCACAAAGTCTCTTTTTAGGTTCATTTTCAGCTTCAGTCTTTTAACTTCTGAGATGTTTTGTATTTTTATTTTTTGCCTGGAGGCTTCATTAAAATACAACTCTCCTTGACAATAGCAGTAACTCTGACTGTGCACAGCATGAAATCCTGGAAGTTAGAGGAAGTTTCCTGATTAATAGTTTAAGCGGAGAAAGTTACTTTGATCTTCAGAGTTTGGAGACTTTGCTTTCAAAGGTAGACAAGGGAAAAACTGAAAGCAATGGCAATAAATGACATTACTTTTTAAAGTTTTATATTCCCAGTTTAAGGTTTATTTCATCACATTCATATTTGTTAGTAACAATATATAACATTAAATATATACGGATCCCTAATAATAACAATTACTTTGTACAACTGAACCCAAAACAAAAATGTAACGGCAATTTTAGAATTTACTGAAAATAAAATAATAACAGGGCCAATGATAGTGCAGCTAAAACACTACAAAGTGCTGTTGGAGTCATTACTATATACAAAACATAATACATTATACGTTATATTATATTATATTATATTATATTATATTATATTATATTACATTACATTACATTACATTACATTATATTATATTATATTATATTATGTTTATGTTTATGTTTATGTTTATGTGCTTAGCAGACGCTTTTACCCAAAGCGACTTACAATTTTTTCTTTTTTTTTTATTATATTATATTATATTACATGACATTACATTATATTACATTACATTACATTACATTACATTATTTTATATTATTTTATATTATATTATATTATATTATATTATATTATATTATAACACACACACACAGACCATATAATTCTATTATTATTACTTCTTTAATCACCCATTGAGGAGTTAATTTTGGTATGAAAGCTTTTTTATCTTGTTAAAAATTACTCTAACAGGCTTTATGATACAAACATAAAACACAGAGTAACAAACAGAAAAAAGGGCGATCTGCTGAAGATCCATCTAGCACTTTCATGTAAAGCACCGACCAAAAGCTCAGCCTTTGATTTACCCTGCAGTCTTCAGCAGAAACACAGAGGGTCCAGCCTGGCAGTGCATCAAATAGAGGGGGGCACAGGAGACTCCCAAGACTCCCCACTCAGCGTTTCCACATTGATTACCTCTCTCCTTGTGTAGAGAAAGCTGCGCAATCATCTTCAGCCAAGAAATCCCTCATCCGGAAAATATTCCAACAAAAAAGGAGGCCACACTTGTCAAATAGGAGTGTGCTGATGCTGACTTCAGATATCTCGGCATTCAGGAGCCTCGTGGGAATGCTTTCATCACCCCCGTTTCATATACACACAGGAGTTTTGTGCTCTCTTCATGATCAGAAGGTTGCAGGTTCGAGCCCCGCTCAGTTTGTCGCTGTCATTGTGTCCTTGGTCAAGACACTTAACCCCCCTTGCCTGCTGGTGGTGGCCAGAGGGACCGGTGGCGCCTGTGCTCGGCAGCCTCGCCTCTGTCAGTGCGCCCCAGGGCAGCTGTGGCTACATCGTAGCTCATCCTCACCAGCGTGTGAATGGGTGAATGACTGATTGTGTTGTGAAGCGCCTTGAAGAAGAAGAAATCTTTTCTTTAGCGCCTCTCAAGATAAAAATCACGAGGCGCTTCGCAAAAACAAAAAAATGTTAAAATATGAAAAAGAATTTAGAAAATGATTAAAAATATATTTAAAATGAGCAAATAATAGACAATTGTGGTTAAAAATGTTAAGAAAGAGAGAGAGTGAATAGGAAAGAAGGAAATTAGTGGATCCTGAGGAAGGTGGAATAGGTGGGGAGAGCAGAATAAAGAGAGAGTGATGAAGGTCATACAAAAGCCAGCTTGAACAAGTGAGTTTTCAGCTGCTTTTCAAAGGAGACCTTTGACTCCACTGATCTCAGGTTCGAGGGAGAGTGTTCCAGAGTCTGGGGGCCACAGCAGTAAATGATCTTTAGCCTGGTGCTGCACAACCAGAAGACTTTGATCACTGGACCTCAGGGACCTGCTGGAGGTGTAGGGACTGAAAAGATCACCAATGTAAGATGGTGCTTGTCCATGTAAGGCCCTATAGACCAGAACCAGGATCTTGAAATGAACCCTGAAGTTGACTGGCAGCCAGTGAAGCTGGAGGAGAAGCGGGGTGATGTGGGTGTGTTTGGAGGACTTGGTCAGAAGCCGAGCACAGGCATTCTGAACCACCTGTAGACAGTTCAGGGAGGTTCTGCTCAGACACGTGAAAAGAGAGTTACAGTAGTCTAAGCGTGAGGAGATGAAGGTGTGGAGAACTGTCTCAAGTTCAGAGCGGGACAGAATGGACTCGGCTTTGCAATGTTCCTGAGATGGAAGAAGGAAGAGCGAACAAGAGAACTGACATGAGAATCCAGGGTGAGAGCTGGGTCAAAGGTCACGCCAAGATTCTTGACAGAAGGTTTGGTGTGAGAAGCAAGCTGACCAAGAGAACCAGCTTGTCTGGGGCACAGATGAGGATCTCAGTCTAATCTTCATTCAGCTGAAGAAAGCTTCCAGCCATCAAGGTTTTGATAGAGTCTAAGCAGGTGTGTAACAGCTGCAGCTTAGACATCTCATGGGGCTTAAAGGAGATGTACAGTTGGACGTCATCTGCATAAAGATGATGGAAGATTCCTTTGAAGGAACTCAGGATGTGTTGAAGAGGAAGCAGATAGAGGAGGAAGAGCAGAGGCCCCAGCACAGAACCTTGTGGGACACCATGGGTTCCTGATATCAAATACAGGCCATTTACCATGTAGACACACACGCACGCACGTGTGTGTGTGTGTGTTTCATGTTCATATACTGTTTCAAGGACTAACTCTGCAAGTGCATGCTTTAGCTTAAACCATTTGAGGTCAAACTGACACCAATGGAACAGCAATGTGTCCAAAAAGGGTCCAGCTCATTGGAAAAATACTAATATAGAATATAAAAATGTATTGCTTAATCAACTGACCTCGTTAGATCAGGAAAAGTCATGAAATATGGAGCCAAAAAAATTATTTAACTGTTGTTTTTTTCAATGATAAACATTGAATTGGGTCATATTGACCCCAATGATGATGGGGGGGGGGGGGGGGGGGTAGCGTCAATTTAAAGCTACAATTGAACCTTGAAGGAATTATTTTAAATAAATATGCAGTATAAAGGAAACATGGGAATGAGAAAATATACAGAAAACAGAAGAATTCCCTTTAATTCCTTCTTTTCTTGCAGGAGGAGGAGATTCCAGAGTTAGAAATTGACATAGATGAGCTGCTGGAACTGTCTGACGAAGGGCAAAGGTCTCGGCTGGAGGTAATTTAATAATTCTTTGAATTGCACTGATTTCCATGTCAAAAAGGAGGTTTCAGTAGAGGTTTAGGTCTACATTTACACATTTTTATGTGAATTAATCAGTTTCTGTTCGGCTCTTTTAGGAGTTGCTGCAGGAATGTGGAAAGCCAAAAGAGGTGAGAGTCAGGAAAAAATTCCAATTGGAACAAAAACATTTTAAAAATTACTTAATAGCTAAAGTTTGGTTTTGAATATTTTTTTCCTCCTCTTTCTCACAGGAATTTATCAACGGGCTGCTCTACAGGATAAAAGGTCTACGAAAAATGTCAGGTCCCTTGAAGAAATAATTATAGGTCAAATACAAAAAAACAAGACAACACGGAGCCTCCGAACCTGCGTTAACCGTATGGATGTGTGGATGAACCATCAGTGGGATAGTTTTTGTTTTTCCTCTTCTTGGATCAGAATGGGCTGTTTTCTCTTTATTTTATGAACTCTTCAAAGGAAAAGTTAACTCCCATCATCATATCAATAACATGATAAAGGAAACGTCATACTATTACTCAGATGGACTCTTTTATTTTGTGTAAGAGTGTACATTTTCAGTTTCTTATTTATGTACATACGCATTTTGGTCAGGTAACGGTGGAATAAAATCAAACATTTTCCAAAAAAAAAGACTGTTCATGAATCACGGTGAGGGTTACGATTCTGCCATTAATTCCAACATTTACAAATAAATCACGTTCAGTACATTAGGCCGCTCTAATATGACAGCTGCTCTTTGTCTGGACACGACTCAGAGGTATTCCCAGAATGCATCGCTCAGTTTTCTGGCATGAATTTTTCAGCAGAGTGATGGAAACAATGGAGGCGTTGACATGTCAGGTCTAGGAGTAAACACTGAAATTAGCCGCAGGATGTTCCATTAAGCGTGCACCCATTATCCTCCTCCATTTCCTGTCTGTGGGGGTGGGCTGGTGTATGACATGGCTTGAAAAAGGCAAAACACACCAATAGCCTCCATGCAAACTAATGGAGCAAGCCCCCGAAGGAGAGTGCAATTATGGCCTCCCCTCAGTTAGCCGGGCAATAATGCACTCTGGTCCTCTCGCTGTCGTACACTGGGGGTCTTTTTTAGGCAAGGACTCCATTACAGTCATTTGTATTTCTGGCGTTCGTCTCTGACTCATCCTACAAAGAGAACCTGCCGGACTGAGACGGTTTTATCACATAACGTATCGCTGATTTTTTTTTTTAAGGTGTCGTGTTAAAAATAAACCTCAAACAAGCGACAGAGCCAGATAGTTTGGATTCATTTATAATCAAACCTCATCAGGACAAGACAGTCGATGCTTATGTCAGAATAGCAGCCAAACATAGACTAGACGAATGACAACGCAAAGCAAACAAAGGCCTCAGTGATTCTTTTAGACTGACTCTTCAGTTTGGAGCTGACAAAAGTCTCAGATAGATCGAACATCCTCCCGGATGAGCTCACGATCTGTCTGGTTTCTGCTGAAAAAGTGTTAAAGCGAGCCGCGAGACAAAGAGTTCAAAGTACACTTAGAATAGGGCTTTGTTGCGATTACAAAGTAGGACACAGCAGAACAACAAAAACCGTTTTCTTTCGCTTTTAAGGGTTTATCTTTATGCAGCTTTAAAGGTTTTGCTGAAACACCCCGTCTTCTGCTACATTTACTTCTATTTTCCACAGAAATAAGTTGGATTTCTAATATCGCCTCTAATTTATTATTTCTTTAAAGCTAACATCTATATTTAGTAAGTAACTGTTTTAATACTAAGCAGTCAGCAGAAACCACAACCAGGACCTGATTCTCCCCTAATTAAGCTAGCATAGAGGTACGTTATGATGGGAGTTTGGAGATAATATGGGATAATAGGCAGCTTTTTAATTCTTAAGTTGCTATTTTCACAATGTCACTTAAGGTCAAAGATCAAGTCCTGAAGTGGGAAAGGGCCAGAGTGTAATTAAACGCTCCCATCACGTCTTCCTCTTCTTCTTCGGGGCAGCGTAGTTAGTGGTGCGATGCTCCATCCTATCATATTTATCATGGCCTTCCCTGGGGAGATAACAGAGCATGGATTGATAATTTATCACACTAAATACTTTACATTCATGCTGGCTAACAGTATGGCAGCAGCCTGTGCACATTTATCTGGGGGCACTGAAAGCATTCCAAATCATCTTCCTCAGACAGAATCGAGGTTTTCCCACGCAACTTTGAGCCATGGCCTAGAATCTTACTGTATTTATTACTGGATGCTACCTGAAGCAGGGGTTGCAGTACAGGTCTCCATCGCAGGTGTGACAGCGGAGGGTGGCGTCTTGGTTACAGATGCAGCACCAAGGAAGCTCCTCCTCATCGCTGTCTGACGGCAGATGTGCAGCTGCAGCAGGTGAAATCTTGCTCTTTGGTGCGGGAGCTACGGTCTTTAACATACATCGGATTAACAGTCATTTAAATGTTTTATGGTTTGAAACAGTTGTGAATTTGTCTGCTGCTCTGTACTAGTTTCTTAGAGGTCTTTTTCTTCTCCGTGTTCCTCGGGCCGCTCTGTTCTACGGGTATGTTGTACCCACTAGCTTCGTCGAGTGCAGCTTCTTCTGAGAGCTGGAGCCAACCAAGAACAGGAAGTTCAGAGCATGCCAGTTGTCATTACCAGTTATTAAAAGGCCTAACAGCAGCCTCTTGTGGCAGCCATTAAAAGGTCTAAAACAGTAAACCACAACATGTGGGTGTAGTGATAAACGTGTTGTCTCCCTGACCTGTTTTAGCACTCTCCTCACAGCTTCTTCCTCAGTCTCCTCTTCACTGTCAGGTTGTTGGAAATCCTCTGCAGTGACTAAGTGTGCAACACCAAAATGTCAGCTAATGAAAATGTGAATATCAACAGTTCTGTCATAGCTGCAGCGATGATCTCGTGACTGAGAGAAGGTGGGTGTGGAAACAGCTCTGAGCACCTTTATTTGGATCCTGGCCCTTTAACTGGGCCAGCCTCTTGGCCATGTCGAGGATTTGATCCTGGGTATGTCGCTCGTTCCTCAGCTCATTCATGGCTTCCTCCAGCAGACGCTCTTTCTCTGCCTCCAGCTGTTTGACTGCTCCCTGGTTGTCCTCCATGTTCTCATCCAACGTAGCCCCCTCCCCCTTGTTCAGATCATTCATATCTATGCCTGCAAGACAGTGTTTGCTGTACTTAGACGGGGATTTCTGCCTTTTAAAGCTTGTTGAAACAGGTTTTTTGGTAACACATTAACCCTTGTGATCACTAACTGAGTTCAGGATTTGATTGTTGGTTGTCAATGGCAACTTCCTCCATCAGCTGGGTTAACAAGTCACTGGCTTTTTCAGTCTGAGTCCGGGTATCAGGAGGTTGGTGCACCTGCACACACACACACACACACACACACACACACACACACACACACACACACACACACACACACACACACACACACACACGAACATGTAAGTTAATTAAAAACCATTACATTGAATTATTCAACACTTTAAAATACGACCAGTGTTCGGCAAATTACTTTGAAAAAGTAATTACTATAGTTACTACAAAAAGTAACTGAGTCAGTAATGGAATGACAATGCAATAAAAGTTTCTAATTACCAGGAAAATAAGTATTTCGTTACTTTTTCTAAATAAATTATGCAAGAAAATTAGCAGCACATGTAAGATTGTTTCCATCCCTTTAGCTCCTGGTCACATGATGTCAGCTTCAACACACCTTGCTGCTGAATTATAGTAGCGTGCTACATTTTCTTGTCAGTATTGGAAACAACGTAATTAATTTGATCATACTCTGAACTCTGTTAGCAACACATTTAATTCAATGCCATTTTTCCAACCACTGAATATGGCTGAGCTGTATAAGGAGTACAATTTTTTTTTATATTTTCCCACCTTTAATTTAACAGGTAAAATGTTTGAGAGTAAATTTTCATTTACAAACAACAACAACAATTATAGAAAACTGGGGCAGCAGTAGCTCAACAGGATGAGCGGGTTGTAATCGGAAGTTTGCAGGTTCGATCCCCGCTCTGGACTGAGAATTCTGCTGTTGTGTCCTTGGGCAGGACACTAAACCCACCTTGCCTGCTGGTGGTGGTCGGAGGGTGTGGTGTGGCTGCATCAGTAAAGATGTGAATGTTTGTGTGAATGGATGAATCATACACTGTAGTGTAAAGCGCTTTGGAGTCCTTACTCAGAGTGGCCCTATATACAAGTGTGGGCCATTTATCATTATCATGATAGAAGAAATTAGAGGAAAACTCACAGGAGCAGGAGCTTGAGATGGTGGAGGATGACTTCGCAGAGCAGCCAGACGATTCTCCATCTCCTCTGTAGAAGGAACAGGTTGGATGGGGACTCTCAGAGCAGCAAGGCGTGACTCGATTTCCTTCTCTGAAGGAATGGACCCTGAAGAAATGATTAAAAAGCAATCTATTGCTTTGCATTAAAAGATCCTGTTTAGCATTTTTCAGATTTATTTTAAATGCTTGATGATTAAATTCATTACTAGGTTTAGTGTCCTCTTTCAGCTTTTGAAGTCTCTCAGCAATAGCTTGGTCTTCTTTACTCAGGCCTTTTGCTGGTAGATGGCCTACTTTGCTGTTTCTGCTTCCCCCGTGTACGGCAGGTTGAGTCGACTGTCCTTGCTGTTTTGCCTCCAGCGCAGCAACTCGTCTGTGGAAAAAACAGAACTTTAGATAGTATGAAACTTCTGTAACGGCCTCTTTGTCAAACGTGGTCAAACACTAACTTTTTGTAATTTTCTGGAGGAGACCATCTTCCAGCATTGTGTGAAGAAGCCTCCCCTCTAAAAATAAAAAGGATAAAATAGGTTTTAGATAATTAAAGGAAAATAATTAATTTGGGGTTTATTGTGTTGGGTGAGGTTTACCTTGTCAAATTACCATGGCACTGCTTGCAGACCTTCTGCTGGGTGTTACCACAGCGAGGCACCACAGCATTAAAAGTCAAACAGCTGGAGCAGAAGGCTCGTCCACAGCTCTTACAGCCCAGCTATCATAGAAGTCAGCACAATCCAGATATTAACCACGTGTCCACAAACACACGAACGCGTACATATTTATTGCTGATTTATTAGTAAATCCATACCTCTTTCTTGAAGAGACTAAACTTTGATGCACAACAATAACAGCGACTGTCCATGCTGTCACGTGTAGCGTCATGAAACCGTAAGATTACAATTTACGTAATTCCAACAGGTGAAGAAAAGCGCTAAAGCAATAATAATTTCTGAATTAGCTATCTGTTTTCAGCTTGTCAACGATGCATTATCAAAACAGGAACTAAACCGGAAATGATGTATGAAGTAGTTGGCATTTTTCCTGTTATGTATTTCCTCCAATCAGCTATCTCCAAATCCTCTCGCGGGATTTGTTTAAAAGACAGGTCTCCATTTCAACGTTGTCCCTGTTTCATCGTTAGCTGCAAGTAATCGGCGAAGGAGACAAAGAAACTCTAAAAGTGGTATGAAAACACACAGTTAGTCGATTAATGTTAACGCTATACTAGTTTTAACTGGAAAATCTTTATGTATTGGGATAATTGACACGGCTAAGCAACAAATAACTAGCTAACGTGTTAGCTTATTGTGTTTTTGTAGCTAACTTTTTAGCATCGTGAAAGTTTCTGTTATCTAATTCAGGATTTGCTTATTTCATCCATATTATTTTACTTTTTACTTCTTTGTGTTTGCATTTTTGAAAACAATAAAATATTTAAAATTGGTTTTATGTATTGCTTTGGAATTAAGAGTCATAATTGTAAACATTAAAAAGAAAGATTGTAAAATGCATTGAAAGAAGACTGCTTGCTTTTGGGCTTTGAGCAGAAATGAACTGCATTGGTTTTATTGTAGAGTATTTGCTCACGTGCAGCGTAATTTACTAGGTTTACAAATATGTTCAAGCTTTTGTGCAAATTTACTCTAGAGTATCAGCAACAGTCTGCACCAGATACTTCATTCTTACAAGTTTGTGTGTGTGTGTGTTTTTTTCCCTCAGATGTTGGTGCATAAACTAAGTATAATTAGTACTCAATTATTGAATGATGTGTTTTCTCCTGCAGTTCACCGGTCTTTATTTCCACAATGGCAGAAGGAGAAGATGTGGATTGGGAGCTTAGCAAAGAAAACATCCAGCCGCTGAGGCGGGGCAGAGCAATATCAGCTTTACATCAGGCCCTCAGTCAGCAGCAAGATGGACCCACATCTGCAATCAACCAACAGAGACAGTAAGATAATCCATTAAACTTTAGTATTTCTAAAATAATTGGAACATCTTTTGTATGTAGTTTAAAATATAATGCACTTTTTGCTCTTTTGCTTCTTTAGGGCCTTTGAGTCTGAGCTTCGAATGTACGATGGAGACGATCCACTTCATGTTTGGGATTGGTGAGTTAAATATTTAAAAATATTGTCTTAAAGTTAAGGATCTTTAACTATCCCACTCATCTGGACAATTTCGGTTCTGATTTTACAGTTATGTCAAGTGGACAGAGCAAACCTTCCTTCAGGGTGGAAGAGAAAGCAACCTCGCCACATTGTTGGAGCGGGCTGTGACCAGATTCACAGAAGAATCAATGTATCACAACGACCCTCGCTATGTTGATCTGTGGATCAAATTTGTACGTTCTAGTTTTCTTATTCTGCCGTTCTGTTAGACTAAGGCAGAAGTAACAACTTTAGGTGTTTGTGTGCGCTACCAGGCCGAGAACTGCCCCGAGCCTCTGGAAGTTTACAGGTACATGCAAGCTAAAGGAATCGGATTGACACAGGCGTCCTTCTACATCGCCTGGTCAGAAGAGTATGAAAATCAAGGCAATTACAGAAAAGCAGACCTGGTTTATCAAGAAGGTTTCAAGGTGCACACTGAGCCATCTGATAAACTCTCCCAGTTCCACAAGTACGAATCATTTTCATGTCAATTTTTCTACAAGTACAGCTCAGTTAAACCTTTCCCTCTGCAAATCACAACACGTTGCATTTTACTCACAGGGCTTTTCAGGCCCGTGTGTCCCGGCAGGCGTTATTAAACATGGAGAAGGACAGTAGTGATGAGGAGTCAAAACAACCTGAGAGAGTTTCTCTGGCTGTCCTGAAACATCGAGGGAAGAAAAAGGCCATCGCTCCTGTCATAAGAACTGGGGCCGCAATCAAAAGTATGCTTGTCTAATGTTACATCCTTAGCCGACGTTACCGGTGCTGTTACTGGGTTTTTTATGTCTTACTGGGTTTGTGTGCAGGTGTTTCTGGAGTGCTGCAGTCACACGGTGCCCCTGTTCTTGGCAACGTTTCAAACAGCCGGCTGCTGGTGTTTGATGAGAACAAAGCTGAAATTGCTGGTCCGTCAGAACCCAGGTTAGAATCGTGGGCGGCTCCCCCCACATCAAGGGCAAAGGAGAATGAGCAGAGAACTGAGAAATGGAGTGATGTAAAGGTACAAGACAGATCAATCTGTAATAGAACTGTAGTTCATCCGGATTGCCTAATGTCACTTGGTTTTCTGCAAACATGTTACAGATGCCCCAGAAAACCACATTTGGGCATAAAATAATGGCTCCACCACCTGCTAAACCCACTTTCCAACCATTTGTTGAGGAGTCGGACCAACCTCCAACCATGTAAGTATTGAGCTTTATATTTCTTAATCAAAAAAACAAAAAGACTCAAGATGTTTATTTTAGTAAGAATTTAGCCGTTTGCTTTAAAATCATTTGATCAAATTTTCTTTTATCACAGAAGGTTAAATGTGAGTGCTTCATTCTGTCCCGCCCTTAGGACGCCATGTAAGATCCACCCGGCGGTGAACACAGTTCTTATGGCGCGTAAGCCGAGCAAAGGGGATACTCCCCTGAAACGACTGCAGGACCATCAGCAGCAGCACAAAGACGCCGAGGCAGGGAAACTCCAGGAGCAGAGCATGTACTGTAAGGAGCTATTGCTCAGTGGCGCCACAGAGTTCTGCTTTGAGGAGCTGCGCGCCGAACGCTACTTCAAAAAGATGTCACAGGAAGCCAGAGGGGAAGACGGTCAGTCTTCTGTCAGTGCTGTAAATTGATGCTTTCAAAACGTTTTTAAACATTATTTTAACATTTTTACTTTTTAGGACCACAACGCTGCCCGTGTATAGTTTGTTGTCCACCTGTAAATATTGTTTTTGTTGAAAACAAGACAAGGCGAAAGGTCTTGTACGTGTACACGTTTGTAGGAGTTAACCTGTCCTGCCTCTTGTTTGCTCGCTCAGTTCCCCAAAATTAATAATTGTTTTTTCTACATCGTGCTGTTCTTCAGAACAGCGTGTTGTTTGCATGTTTTTGTCTCATTAAATGTTTTTTTTTAATCAGACACCCAAACATGGGTTAGGGTTCAAGTCTCAGTCTGAGTAAAACCTAAAACAAGTGTTCTTGATGTCCAATAAACGTGTTTGAACGTGTGACTGAAAACCTGAGTTGTGTGTTTGTCGCTGAGATGAGTGTGCAAGAGATCAAATACAAACGTGTATATATTTATATTATAGTGAATGTTATTTCAGTGGTCCCTTCGAATAACGGATTCATTTAGTTGATCTTGATACGACATATTTTGGAGATGGTTGAAGACTTCTTCAGTTGTAGTTCTATAGTCAAAACATTTTTATAAGATTATTTGCACAAAATCCCTCTCAAGCAATTTCAGCTTTTTTATTTTCAGTACCTTCCAGAATGAGATGTTTCAGGCCTTTGTCACTCTAAAAAGAAAGTAACCCCCAAATCAACCTTTGTTGCAGATGAACTATAAACGAGTGTCTAATAGTGCTGCATATTGGTAGTCGTTATTTTGGTGTTTGAGTTTAACATTTTTAAAATGTAAGCATTCTGCCCAAAAACCCTCAGTGCAGCGCCCTCTTCAGGTTAAAATTATCACTATATTTGAATTTGAATCAACCATTGCTATTGACAAAAGGGCACCATGTGGCGTCTGCCTGTGATTTATGGCATGGCTGCACTGACAGGCTATGTGTGTGTGCCCATATAGAGCTGCTTGTTAGCGTCCCGTTTATCAGCCAGAGAAACTCAGAGCACTGTCTGTTGCTCAGGCCATCAGACTGCCCCCTCTTGGTGCATTTTTCAAACAGGAAGTGTGGGTGAAGAAAGGCTCTTGTAGGGGAGTGACTTGCTCTTTAAGAAAACAAGCTGGAGCTGGCCACGCCCACCCATCTCCTGAAAGGCTGCTATAAGCTGAGAAGTTGATGTCTGGGAGGAGCTCGGAGTAGAACTGCTCCTTCAGCTGCAGCTGTGTTGCATGTGAGAGGTGGTTCTATGGTTTGTGATGTCACAAAAGGCAATTTTTTTGAAACGGCTCGTTTTGGGCATCTACAGGGTATCTGCATGTCCTTAAAAAGTCTTAAATTTGCTTTTTCAAATTTAAGGCCTTAAAAATCCTTAAAAATGACAAATAATCTTTAAATAGTTTCCAAAGGTCTTAAATGATCAAAGACCCAATAAACAAGATTCTTTTATTTCCATAAAATTTTCGTGAATTTCTAGTTAGTTCAGCATTTATTGTGTATGATATTGGCGTAAGCGGAACTGTACACATTCGGTTGGTTGTGAATGGGGGCTATTTTTAGATGAGCACGCTAGTGGAAGTTTGCGCCATGGGGAAGTGCAACATTAATGGTAACTGAATGGCTAATCCCACGTTCACGACATGGTTAGCACCGGTTCCAGGCAATAGCTGGAAATTGTAGCTTAAATTTAATTTAAAAAAATAGCTTCAATTTGGTCAAAGAGGCCTTAAAAAAGGTCTTAAAATGTCTTAAATTTGGCTCCCTTAAACCTGCAGATACCCTGATTTAATACTTAAAACCAAAAACTGACAGAAAACAGCTGGATCGTTTTTTTCAATGAAAGGAGTGTTTATAGTGGCAGTAGAGACCCCCCATGCAGCAGAAAAGGATGCAAAATTTGAGTTTTGCATAAAATTCATGAAATGAAACTAAATGCACACTTACAAGTTAAGCTCTGAAGGACACACAGTTTATCATTACACCACACATAATTGTGTAAATACATGATGTTCCATTATGCTGCTCACATTGTTATGAATAAATAATGACGAGATGTAGTAAAAGAAGTTGCCTCAGTGAAGTTTGATGAATGAAGAAGGAAACGGTTCCTGCGTCTGGTAGCAGGTAATCAGCATAAACTTGGGTGTTCCCTGTTAATGTGTCTTTCTTGCAAATTGAGAAAAACTTATTTTGGTAATATGGTTTAAATATTCTAATCTAAAATCTTTTAAACCACAAAAAGGGTTTTATCACAATGCTAAGAAGGTGAATGATAAAAGAGGTCTGTGAAATACTCTTAAGTGCATGTTTTATTATAAAAATACATGTTTGATTCTCAACTTTATATAGAGATAAACAAACTCTGCTTTGTTTTAGTTGCAGGAAAATTCAAGAAATCAATAGACGACAAAATAAATCAGCACCAATAAAAAATAAATGTGACAAAAATGCTGACAAGTAAACGAGACGAAGGGGACACGCCTCTCTCAATCCCAACAGGAAAATCCAGCATACGCAGATTTTTTCACTTGACTTCTCTTTGATGTTTGTTTTTTCACTGTATCTATAAACGTCCTCTCATATCAAAATGCCATGTGCTACACGAATGCCCCAAATCTGGCTCAGTCTTGCAGGCAATTTCTGCATGACTTGACCCTAATACAGTTTACCCCCCCAGCTCTGAGCCTCATAGCGGCTCTAAATTATTCAGTGAATGATTGTGGTGGAAGGAAAATAACTATTTAACTCCAGTGTCATTAAGGCGGTGATGCAACTTTAGTTTCCAGTTCCTCTCTCGGACTTGTGGGTGACACTGGACTCAAAGTCACTTTGAATATGGGAGCGATTATTGCCACCGTTCATCCAAATACAGCAGAACCCCCCTAACACACACACACACACACACACACACACACACACACACACACACACACACACCATCTGTCATCTCTGACCCTGTCCATTCATGGATAATGCATGTGACTCTGAACAGCAGCACACTCGGTTCTCGAGTCACTCTTGTAAAGGAGACAGAGGGACAGGGATGGAAGGCAGTGAGGTGACTGAAAGGTATCCCAGGTGATGTGGAGCAGAGGAGCTCTCCTTACCTTTACTGTCACCGGAAACCAGCTTTAAAGCCCCCCCCCCCCCCCCCCCCACCCCCACCCACACACACACACACACACATTTGCACTAACACACAAAGCGATCAGTTATTTTGCAAACCAATCAGGGGGTGGGAGGAGGCAGAGAAGGAGGAAAGTGATAAAGAGGGAGGAAAAGGGAGGTGTGTGTGTGTGTGTGTGTGTGCGTGTGTGCGTGCGTGTGTGCATGTGTGTGTGTGTGTGTGTGTGTGTGTAAAGACGGAGCTTGAGAGGAAGAGAAGAGAGTGGGGGTTGGTGGTAGATGGATGGAGGGAGCTATGTGGGGCCAAGATATCCTCTCCTCCTGGATGTTGCCTTTCCTTTTCCTGGCTTTGCCCTTCCTTGGTGCAGCATCCCTGGGAGCAGGCACCGGTACACGGAGCAGCGCTCAGCCACGGAGCCGAGGATGATTCAGCCCCAACAAAGAGCCTTTGAAATGGCAGCGTGTGCTTCTGCCTGGAGGGAGGAACGCATCAGGCTTTCCCAGGCAAGCGGCAGCCTGCAGTGTGCTCTTGCTTGAGAGCCAGCCCTCCTCGTCGCTGAGACAGTGAGATGTATTTGCCGTGTGTGTATGTGTGTGTGCGAGTGAGCAGCGTACAATCGTGAGGGTGTATGTGCACGCTCCTGCTTCCAATCCTTTGTGGAGGAGAGAGGCTCTCCTCTTCACTGGACGCCAAGGTAAGAAGGATTAACTGATTTTTTTCCCTCTCTCTAATAATTAATCCCTCCAGAGCTTTGGATATTCTCTTCAAGATGAGAGGTGATGCTGGGAAGAAGAAGTGGGGGAGGAGGAAAAGGGAAAAGAGGGTTAACATCATTGATAAAGAGCAAGTATGGCATCGTTTGGCACCAGCCGTGGTGGAGAAAGAAGGAGATGGAGAGGCTGTGAGTGGAATGCAGCACAGGCAGGTGCAAATGAGGAGAGAAGAGGGAGAAAAGGGGACAACTGTGCAGGTTGTTGGAGGCATTCAAAGATGGACCACATTTCTAAAGAAGAGCCTTCTGCTTACATTTCTTCCTCAACATCCTCTTAACCTCTAATTCAAAGAAAAACAACAAAAAAATCCTTCAAATGCTCCCCTTTTCAAGAAGACTCCACAGCCTGCACACAGTGAAGACACTTCCTGTTGTTGTCACGGTGTGTTTGTGCGTGTCGAGTTCTCAAGCGAGCGTTCATCGGCTCCTGCTGCAAATGGTCATGTTAGATGAACAGGAGCAATATGTTAGAAGCTGGCAGTGACATGTGCTCTGAACGTCTAGAAAACCTGTCGTACAAGAGCTCGCATAAACGTGGGAGTTCATGTTTGCACTGTTCTGTTTGAATTTGGATTTGAGCCGTAAAGATCGGCACTGTGGAAAGTAGGTTAGCAAAGTCTCTCCATTAGTTCCTTTATCAGACGCTACGTGTTGAGTAGAAATCAATCCAAGGCTAAGGTGACTTAAAGAAGTGTATGGATTTTAGTTTTAATCCAGAGATCCACAGTCCACTCTCTCTTTCTGACAGCTTTTCCCCAACCTGTTCTTGTCTCATCCGTGCATCCCAGAAACACCTGAAGGGATTTGCTTTTGCAGAAGTGCAAGAAAGAATTATGCATCTGTTCAAAAGCGTTCAAAACAAACCACGGTCTGAGGATTCTGTTGTGTCTGCTGCTGATGAAACCTGATGTAAAAGCTTGCATCTCAGGTGACTCATTGATATGTAAGAAAGAGACGAGAAAAGGGTAGAAGAGGCCTGTTGCACGCTCACACAGCTGAACATCTGCTCTGCTGAGAGCGTCTTCGAGTTTGATCTGACGTTTCTCACAGATTCATGTCGAACAGAGACAACACAGGCTCTTGTGCGTGACATGGGACACTAACAGGACGTCTTGCTCTCACATGCTTTCAGATTTCCCTCAGGAATCACAGAATAAAGAAGTCAAAATTAGAAAAGCATGACCCGACTCTTCTCCTTTGGTTTAAACAGCACCGGTGCCGGGTTGCAGATCCACACCGTGAAAGATTTCATGCTTTGACACAAAAAAGATAAATAAATAAATGAAAGCTTGAAAAATCTCATACGTGTACAGTGAAGCTTGCACCGCATCCCAGCGCATCAATAAATGAGACCCCAGAGAGACGACTCGGGCTCGCACTGTCGGTCCAGAGTGGTCGCACGTTTCTATCAACGCAGCATCAAACTGAGAGCCAAGAAGACCTTTTTTTGAAACAAAGTGATTGTCCGTGCCGCACGTCCACACTCTCCTTGGTT